TATATATATGACCGCAACGATGCAACTCAGCCGACATCGATAAGCGATAGTTCATTGACAGGCGATGGGTGAACAAACTTTAATTAGAACAAATTCCTAAAAAACTCCTGTACAGAGAACTGTTTGAGTGGATGACTGTAATGAGATCGCGTACAGACTACATGAATCAACCAGATCAACCAGTGAACTCCCGGGTTCACGAACCTCAGTTGGATCGATCGACGCCTATTATTGATTAGACCCAACAAGGCCGAAGCATTTGTGCAGTGCTTCTTAACTTTTCCTTTGTTCTGTGTACACTGAAATTCATTAAATACAATTGAAAGGAGAAATGCACACAAGTTCTCGGAAAGTGAATAAAGGAAAAACAATCACGGAAAACTTTGTTTGATGACATCATTGGTCCGAATAATTCGAATGGGTTGACATAATAACCGTTGCACACGAAATACGGTTAGTGATTCAAAGTCGATCACCGAACACCGGAAAACAACTACAATAAACAAATGGCAGTAGAGGAAGATGGGAAACAGATAAGATGTTGACGAACGGGTGGGGGCTTTGACAAGACCAACTGAGAGGACAGACTGAACAATTATCCTAAAGTGAGTCTATAACTCATCACGGATGGTACATGTGTGATGTGGATTAAGCAAGAATTTAAGCGAGTAGTTTCTCAAAGTTTGCGATTATTGCCTGGCAATTCCTGGTCGTATGCACTAACTGGTAATTACTGAGGTAATCCGGAACAACAAGAGTTATGATTGAAGGGACACTGAGTTAAGGAACAAAATAATAGTGGCCGTAAAGGATTTTGGGGGGGGGGACTCGGTCAGATTAACGAGCGTAGTTAGTTGAACGGGTAAGTCAGGGGACAAACACTGTAAGGGTAATTCGTTCCGTAAGCTCTCATCGGTCGCGTGTGTATGAAACAAGATAGACAACTAAAGTGAATCAGGAAGTATATCCGGATGTCATATATATATATATGTATATATATATATTCTTTTGAACAAGCAAAGGTGGATTCGTTGTAAGTGATCGATAATGTATCCTTAGTCCGTGCTTGTTGCGATGACGTAACAAAACCGAGAACGAGTTCACAGGGTTTACCTTGTGGCCACTTCCAATCAAGTGCCGTGCTATGACGAAGAATGGTCTGTGTGATGCAGTCAGAATATTTGCGGTAGACTGCTAGTGATTCGCTCACGTACTTAGGCATGTGTTTAGCCATTCTTTATACCTTTTGGAATTCAAGTTTTCCGAATATCGTTTCAAGACGTCCTGTCATCAATTCCAGTTGCTTCAGCATAGTTTCAGGCTGTCTCGTTGACCTCATCAGCACTGCTAACCCAATATACTGTTCAAGCCTCCTAGCGATGTGTCGATGACCGTCATGCGACACAGATTTCTCCTTCACCTGTTGAAGCGTAAGGACGGTAGGTTGCCGGGTTTTTCAGACGTGCCTCGGTCACAAGCCCCAATGACTATGACTTACTCCCATTAAAGTCCCAGTTACTTGTGGCTTATCTCGGTTGGTTACCTTGTTGTAGGCGTACGCGACTGTTTTCCCTTACTTTCCCCTTGAAATGGACCAAACGCGATCGATCTACGCCTTATTGTTGTCCAGATTCACATCCACATCGTAAAATATTCCCATCGTGACATAAGAACAGAGTCGAAACGCGAAATTTCTTTTCGATATATCGCTTCAGGCATTTACATATGTAGTTCGATTAGTCAGCAGAATAATACAAGGCCTAGGCCGATGTTGAATGAATGTCTGTGTGCAAAATGTTTGGTTGACAACACGCTGTGCGGTTACCACAATTGGATAAGGAAAAGCCGGATAAAAATGTGTGAATTGGACGCGATACGAAAGGTGTTAGTCAAGAATGAATAAAGCAGGTGTGAAAGGTGCAGTTTGTAGATCATATTCCATCTCCGTTTACCGCCTCAGAAGAACCAACAGAATTTCTACTTAACTGCGATGGCGTGGCATCAGACGCTGCACGTTTACACACGAAGTAATGACACGATGATCGAGATGTTGGTTCACTGATACTGTCACCTCAAGAACGTGTGATTGGCTGGGTGGATAAGCTAACTGATGCGCCACCTAGTCGACCGGCTTAACCCGTCCACTTGAATACGGAACTGACTTTCAAGGTCACCCTCCCTATCTCTTGGACTAAACGATAGGTGGGGCACCGAAAATGCACGTGATTGTGTGATTGCGCATTGTTGGACCCCTTACTAACATTCGGGGTGGGGAGTGTCACCAATCAAATGACGATGCAGCTTTTTTCCTTTACTTCCCCTTTATTGATTACATAATGATACAATTTTCAGGAAGAGGGAACTGGCCAATCAAAAGGCTGCCATACAACACACAGTGGGGAAAGTTAGGTGGTGGTGGTGGTGACTCTCAAACGCTCCTTGCTCCGGATTGATAATCTGCTGGCATTACCTCCACTGCTGAATATGCTTAGCCAGAAAATTTGCACATACAGAATCGGTTAACTCGGCAGAGGTTTGTGCGCAAGGCTAAACCAGCAAGCAGGTGCACACAAAAACGGGACATGGAAGGATGATCGGATGTTAGACCTGGTAGCGATTTTGTGGCCGATGCGTTAACTTTTATTCAAACTTGGCAGACTTAAGTCATCGATTCGCGGTCGCTTTATAATTCAGCACTTCCTCCCCGCCATGGTAAACAAAGCTCTTATTACCAATATATCATCACTTCCTTTTAAGAGCTTATTGCTGCATTGTAAACTTGTTTATCATGTGGAACCATCCCCGTTTGTTGTACATCAGCTCGAAGAGGAGCGCTGGACAAAGTCTCGAAGGCCCATTACCTGCGACTTTGTGTTGCAGAAGGCTCCTGAAATTGTTTTGCTGTATCAAACGGCACCCCTGTGTGACTCATATGACTAGCTCCAATTTGCCACCAAACTGAGTCTATCCACAAATGTTGCGGCTCCCCATATTGCACATTCAGTCACAATTTACAAACGCCTTTGGTTGCCTCTAAAGAGGCCGCTGTTTCTGAGGGTAGCCAAAGACCCGCAGTTTTCACTGTTTCGATGGACTTCTTCTCCCGAAGAATCCAATTTATCTGGTTTAACGGTAGAACATAAGAAGACATGCCCAATTTTTCACGCAGTCTTCGATTCTATCCATAACAGCTGTTTTTGTTACCGTCGCTTAGCTGTGATACACAATAAATTGTAGCAACACCGCATAAGCAGCTTAGGATCGGATACACGACCATCTCTAGTTCTTCTTTGTGACATGCAAAATCTTGTTGCTTGACCCATTCTTTCAACTCCACATCCTCATCCCCTTTGCATCGCATTCGATCTTCCTCCGATAGTGCCACCCCTTGTTAGATTGGATAAGACAGAGGTCCGTGAGCGTGAAGGAGCCACGTTTACAGTGCACTGTTCGGCAGAAGGACAACCGAAACCGAACTTGGAATGGTCACGTGAAGCCGGTGGTCTGTTCCGACTGGGAACGAGTGTGGATATCGCGTGAGTCGATTGTGTCCACCGGCGGGGTGGCATCACTATTGAAATTATTTTGACATTACCTACTTTGTTGTGAGATCCTTCGAAGTGGTTCTATGTATTTAGACGATGAACGTTTGGATTAGCCCATTCGGTTTTTTTCCACAGACATCGGGCACTGTGGATGATCTTAGGTGGGGGGTTCACTCCTAGGGAGATCGTTAGTTCCGCACTATTTGAGTGCAATTCTTCAATGCTCTTTTTCGGTTATCACAAAAATTTCCACCGAATTCAAATGGTTCTATTTATATTTGTACAATAATTGCATATAATAATACTATTGACGTAATATTAGTGTGAATTGTGTTAAGATCTACTTTTTTGTGCTAAGGCTTGTAACCTTCGTACATAATGTCAAAAGCGGCCATTAAATCAGCGCTCACAAACCGCAGCTCTGCGGGTGTTGTTGACCGTGCGATGTACAGCCGTTTATATAAAATTATACAAGGTTCTTGACAACGTCAACCGGTAGTGCCGTTTTGTGCAAGTTTGACCTCCAAACTTTTACATGGTAGATGGCGGTTATAGCGATCGCTGTCACCGATTCTCCCGGGTTCGTAATTCATAGTTTCAGCCAACACCACTCACTTCCATTGATATACTACATTTGCCTTTCCTCGACTCACGGTCATGCCCGTTCCCCAGTTTCAGTTCCAAAGTCAAGGTTGTAATATAGTTCTCATGATCAGACTGAAGCTGTCGTTGTGCTATTAGCCTTTTCCACTCAGTGGTCATCATAGTGAGCTATTGTGTCTTGGGGAAGAAAATTAGACACAATTTGTGGATAACAATGATACTAAAATTGGTCATCGTCAAATCAAATGTGCTAACCGGAGAGGCTCACACAATCCCTTCGCCCCTTCGCGGTTAGGTGATAGTAAAAGAGAATCTGCTTGTACTTCGGTATATCCGTTTGTATACGAATGGTAAAAATACCCCCTTTCCTGATATTTTCAAATCGGTCTAGTTCAATATTTTGGGCTGATTTGAAGAGAAAAATGAAAGACAATATTTCAAGTGAACATAGCAAAATAAATAGTAAGACGATTCCTGTTAATACCCGCTATTTCCACCTTTGACTGCGATTACCTCATTGGTACTTACTTCGTTTTGTGTATCGTCATGCGCTATCCAAGCACTGGCGGTTGTCTTTTCCCTGAAGTGTACGCAGACTAACCAAGTCGGCTGTGAAGGGCAAGAAGGCAATCGAGGATCCCTAAAATGAAACCCAGATCATCAATCGCTAAAGCTTATCTTGACCCGTGTACCCGCTTTTGTTGGAACACCATATCGCCGTCTAAATGAATGCAGATGGAAATCCGTAGTACGATTACTTCGTTGAGGTTAGAGGGTAAACAGGGTAAACAGACGTGATATCCTCGAGATAAAGGGGAAAAAGAGTTGGCATAGGCCCGGAGAGATGCTTTGTGCTGCTACGACTCGTGCTCTGGTTTGGACAACCCAATAGTATCACAACCTCGTATCTTTCTTAAACATCCTTATGATATGATTTGGCGGAGCATACCATATGCTGTCTCTCCGAAAACTGTCATCGAACCTGGACCCACGAGGAATACCCCAACGAGTTCAGTTAAAAGACAGTCACAAACAGCACAAGACTTCATTGATAGTATCAGCCAAACGTGGATTGAGAAAGGGCGAACCGTGAGGTATAGATGGAGTTGATCACAGTCTAGTCATTTGTCCGGAATCGGGGTTACGAGTGCACCAATGAAGAGGTTACACAAACCAGGTTGCCGTTCTCTGTTTCTTACCCCGATGACTACTCATCCAGGACCCTTGATAAAACACCGATACGTTCTCACGGTGGCGGCTGATTTCAATCCACTTCAAATTCAAACCGCGAGAATTCTCGGGGGCAGCATGTAGGAATTCATTTATCATGCAAAAAGGATGGATATTTATAGGACAGAGGGAGAGTATGGGAATGCGTATACACCAAACGAGTGGTTGACTGGATTGTTGTCAGCTCTCGAGATTGGTCAGCGGTTCGGACCTACTACCTGAGTTCAGCTATCTTTGTTCTGACTACCTGTCACAAAGCAAAAAGGTTTTAGGACTGAAATTGTGGAATACATTTTCAATAAGATCACTAGAAAATAAAAATAATAAAGAAGGAAATCGTACCGTAACATAAATCACTAGTCTATTCTGCGGGTGGGCAAATTCGCTGACCATTCGTAGATGTGGATTGGATCACGGATTGGTGATTTCAGGCACATCCAACACCAGTGATGACTGGGCGCTCTGTTGCCAGCTCTTGATCCGAAGAAAATAACAGAAAGTCACACCGGATAGCCGACGTGCCAATTATAATGTATTCAACACCAATCACACATCAGTCTAAATCCCAATTGATTAGGGTCAATTCGTATGGCAAACGAATTCCTTTTATATGTGTTCCCGAGGCTGTTCAGTGTCACGACAAGCAATGAGGGATGTTTTACACCGTGTTTGCACCCAGTTATAGATGCCACATACACGGTGATTTCGCATTTGGTGCCCTGCAACTCGCTTCACCTAACTCCTCCCCTCCCTCCTCCGCCCCCAGTACCGGCTTACTAACAATCACGGACGCGAAAAAGGAGGATGCCGGGCGATACACATGTACCGCAACAAACAAGATCAGCCAGGACTCGAAGTCGGTGAATGTGGAAATCATCGGTAAGTATGGGTTCTCTTTTTGACTCTTTGACCGCGTTGCGCATTCAGTCATTACAGTCATGAAACAGACAACAGCCAAGTGTGGGTTTCGCTTCCCCCCTCCCGGGAGGGTGGGGGGGAGGGGGTATTCGATGATATCCCGCATGGGGAGGTGTAGTGCATACCATCATATTTTTGTTTGTGATAACCAAAACAGCAGTACTGAATAGTCGTGATCGGATTTATCGAATGTGTGTATTGTTTGTGTCCCTACCGGGACTCAAATTGTGAGGCTTCGGGCATAGAGTTGAAGCTCTTACCGTTGGGCTACGCAGTCGATGGATGCTCAAAGACAGAGCAGGACTCTGATGCCTTTCCGTATACATGAATAACCGAAAGACGTTTGACTACTGTAACGATGCACTCAACATGCTGGTTTTCGACCGTGCTAGAGCACTTGTAATTCGAGCGGTGACGGGAGCGAATAAAAAGGTACGCCCAATTCTTAACAATGAAAAACACGCTACAGAAAAAACTTCATCGTACAATAAGATGAAAGTAGAGGAATTAAAAGCTATTGATACTTTTACTATGTACTCCAAAATACAACAATTTTTAATGCCAAGTATTGATACCGAGCTCCTTTGATCACACACTCCCGATCTTCGCAGAGCGTCCCACGATTCACACATCCATGGAACCCATTTTGGTAAAGGAGAATGGTCAGGTACTTTTACCATGCCAAGCTACCGGGACTCAGCCGATTCGTGTCCAGTGGCTTCTTCCCTCAGGTCAGCTGATTACCGCTGATCAACCCGGACAGTTTCGACTGTTGCCTGATCAGGTGCGTGCGTTCGTACGTTTCCTCTAGTGCTGTTCAATCGGAGTTGAATTGCATGCAAAATACATTCATTTGGAGCTTATAAACGACATAATTCTGGTATATTTTCTACACATGCACTTCCGTATTGATCCATCAACTATTTGGTAAAAATCAATACGCAGTGTATATTAATGAATGCGTCTTTCCACTTCAGTCCTAAATGAGCATTGGTTTACATGTTCTGTAAATACAACTGATGTGATTACAATTGTTTATCAAAGATGCTTTTTTCCATCGGTTCACTCCATCTGAGTGGTGATTACCCACTGATGTTCTCCAGGGATATTCACATCCAAATGACCTTCCCAGACTATCAACTTCATGCTTCAGGGTCTACTCATCGAGCAAGTGAAACCGGAACACGCTGGTCGTTATCGATGCTCGGCAAACAACGAGGCAGGTTTTCAGAATGCGGTTATCAGTTTAGAAGTTTTAGGTAAGCTGCCCCCCACCCTTCTGCGTTGTTGTTTTACTGCTAATACGTGTTGTCTAATCATTTGTGGAATATTTGCTATATTAAAGAGTATAGATGTTGTAAAAGATTTGTGAATCCTTTATTACCCATACTTCAACATTTATCCATTTTTGCGCTACACCATATCCCAACTCGCTGCGCTCTATACGAGACCTAATATTTATATGCTTTTCCTCTTTCTATTTCCGTTTAACTGCATTACCGCCCTTTATAATTGTTGATTTTATATTCTGACCTTGACGCGCTAGTTAAATCTACGTCATGTCAATCTAGTCGTGAGTACCTATTTTATATATATTGATACTGTAATTATTTATAGAANTCAATAGTATTACCGCTGCCCAAAGCCGTTTTTCCTGCCCAGACCGTGCGTTTAGTCTAGATTCACAGGATCGCTGTTTACTGCTAGCTATCGTCGTTAGACTTAGCTCATTTGTCCTATCTTACGCGTCGTTTTCCTGCAGTTAGCTGTGTATTGTTCACAGAGTCCTTAAGCGCAATTCAAATTTCGTCCTACGTTATATCTGTTATCGTTCCCGTAACAGATGTCATGTTGAGATGTGTTCCTTGCTCACTTTCAGATTTTGCTCTGGCGAACGCCAGTTACGAGCCACCTTTCTTTGAAATTATCACAAACGCATTGAACACACTTGTCAGAGTTGAGGTTAAACCCAACTTTTCTTCTTCTGTTTTACTTCTATCCACCCCCCCCTCCCCCTCACACACACACCCACACACACACACACACAC